CTTCCTGCAGGCGATACGGTCTCTAAGTCAGTACACCACACAGTGCTGATCCATTTTGCACATCCACACATATGCTTCTTGTTTCAGGCATATTTGCACACCCCCTAGACATTTCCATGTTCTATTTATATTCACTTCATTCCAACAAAGATTTTTTAGATTTTTCTTAAATTGTATATTTTGTATTTGTACAGATATTTTATTCTCTCTTAGTCAAATTTACTTTCTATTTTCTTTTCCATATTTATTTCCTATTACTAATCTCTTTTTTTATTATTATTCTATCTCTTATTACTAGTCTCTTATGGTGATGGTCCCGGGCAGTCGTCCAAGCATTTCACTGCATATCGTATTGTATATGACTGTGTATGTGACAAATAAAATTTGAATTTGACATATAGCTTCAGAAGTCATTGAATAGGGTTTCTACTGTTTGGGGCCACAGCTAAAGAAGGAGGATGTAGACATATGTGCTGTGTACCTGTTCTGCTGTTTGATCTGTGTGAGTTGCCGTACCTAGTTTAGTCATCGCGAGATATGTACATACTTCATGGAGGCGCCATTATGTTATGCCTGAGAGAAAGTTATAATAAACACGCAGTTAACTTTCATTCTGTCTCCTGTCAAGTCTTACAACAGAACCCAAACCAAACTATTTCCGATCCATATTTTATAAAGAGGGAGATTTATTTACTGAATTAAAAATTTCTTCCCTTTGTAATGAATGCAAATATGGTTCTTCAGATACTACAATTAATGTCTACCGAAGATTTTTCTGAATTTTGAGGTCTCACCATTGCCATCGAACCCAGACAGGCCCGTAGCACCGTTAGAGTGGACCTAATATAGGGTCATAAGTGTTAGAGACTAGTCCCAGGAGAGGAAGACGACACTGACATGTGTTGAGAGATGAGTCCGACTAGAGGCTGGTTAGTGTCCGCTTTCGTACGGGTATCGCTATAGATAGGGATGGATTCACACTCCTACAATTACCAAAATAACCAATACAAAGCAAGTTAAACCTGCATGCGACTGACAGCCCCTGTAAACCTCACCTGCTGTGGGTCGTGAATCTTAAATGACAAAGAGCAGGCAGTTTAGGCTTGTCCTTTGTGAGCCATCAACACAACAGAGGAGAAGCTAATTAATGTTCACTGGACAAATATTATATGGACTATATGAATACATTTAATTGAAATAATACACACTACCCAGAAAGCAAAATACATTCCACTTACTTAGTATATATATTTTTTATTGTACTGTTGGAATTATAGTTTGGCAGAAGTTTGGTTATTTTACAAATAAAAACAAATATGACGCCTATTCTTAGTATAATGTTAAGTTCACATTTTGCTTTAAAAAAAAAAAATAGTGTTATTAAACAGAATGTGCTAACAGAGCCTAGCGCCCATTAGGTACATGCTGGGAAATGACTGGGTGAAACAAAATCTGACTACATTAAGCAGATAAAAAAAAAAAAAAAACGGCGACTTAAAAGGTTCATACTGGGCTGCAAGAATAACTGCAGAATGAAACCCTGAACCCAACCCAGAGGCAGTGTTCTTACTCAGAACACATTTGCAAGATGTTCCACGAGTTTATAGCAGGTTTTCTGCCAGGTGTCCTTAACTACCATACTCAGAACATTCGTGAGCGGCTGGCAACAACATGGAGACCTTAGAAGTCTTGTTTGGAACCATTTAACACCATTATCAAGAACATCAAAAAACGAGCGGGACTGCGACCCCAAAACACAAAAACAATGGCTGTGACGTCATAAACATGACAACAGCTACTGTCCAAACATTTCAACCCAGACACTGTGAAGTGCCACTCAAACATCCACCCCGCTTGTGTTGTGCCCCGTGGGTCATGGATTATGGGATGTCCAGGGTATTGTGGCACTTTCTTTCAATCTGAAGGACTTTCAGCATCTCTGCTGGTGGAAAAACAGGGCAGGAAAGCAGCCGAAAACATAAACAAAACCACAAGGAACTGGAATGTTGCAGTGTTGGCTTTTTGACAAGACGGGGGTTTTCACACAATATACAGTACGATTATAAAGACGGCATTCAAATTCAAAGTAGTAAAAGTAACAAAGTACTATTCCTTTTTATTTAACTATACAAGGTTAAAAATGATTAGGAGTTAGATATACATAATTATATGACATCACAATGCTCCTTCAAATTTTAAATGTGGAAACCAAAATAAAAATTTTGAATGCAGTATCCCCTTTCTGAACACAAAATTTTTTCCACTGCACATGCCTTAAGTGAGGTCATCTGTCATACTTATAGATATCCATTTGCATTGATTAGCAGGGAATGCAGACAACAGAATGTGCCAACCAGGATATCCATCAGCGATGTCACTCTCCCCTGTCCACATAAAGTAGCTCTATATAAACAAACCTTTGAACATAATGCTCCTCGTTGGCTTGCAGTGAAGATGAAATGTTTATATATTTTGCTAGTCAATTAACTTCATCCTGTTTGTTTGTGCTAATGCAGGTTTCACCCAGGTGCTTGAAGAAATCTAGGAGGGAGATTCTGTCAAACTGCAATTTTGATAGAAAACCAGTAGAGGTCAGGCTTTCACACCACGGCCGGTGCCCGGGCTGAGCCTAAATTCCGGGCGTCGCATTCACAGCAAAAATAACAGCAGTGTGGGGCTGATGTATCCGGGCTGGAGCTCATTTTTCTGGCCCCGAAAGACGGCTTGGCCGGAGTTAGGAGCGCGTGGCGTCAGGTGGCAGGGTTAGAGTAGTCAGAGCGGAAAGCAAAGTGGAGTGAACTGGAGAAAGTAGAGGTTATCAGAATAACGTGAACAAGACTTTTTAAAAAAGAAAAAATACAGTAAGTCAAAAAGAGCTAAATAAATACAGTGTTGGCTGTATGAAAAACAAATATGTCTCTAATTTGGGTGAAATTTACCTATCGTGTCTTGTTTTAACACCGGTGAAGAGAATGCAGATGGACAGGAGCATCACTTCTTATATTTATTCCACATGAAAGATTTACATATTTCTTGATTATTTGTATATTTGTAAAATAAAAGTTTACCAAAATGTTTCGTTTTCTTGTCTTCACTCTCCCCTTTAAAGTAGTCCACTAATGCATATTGCGCAGTAGTTCCTTCAGGGTCCTGTACTTTTTTAATGTACATTTGTGCTGATTTGCAAAGAAATTACTATGCATTTTAACCTTTATATGCTAATTCGTACTTCATTTGCGGTCTAAAGGCTAAAATGCACGATAATTTCTTGTCATTTCTTGTCATACATACAAGTACGTATTTGCGCTGTTATAACAATCGATTGCCGCATGTATCATTTTTAAAGGTGAATGCATACATGCGTGACAGTTTTGTGCATCCGCGCATATTATCATGCATGACTCACAACTAGTTCATCCATGAATGCATCTCCGATTGCGACCTGCTTTTTAACTGGAACACTCAAATAGTAGTTTGTGTTCGACTGCTGAAGCGCAGGAATTAATCGTTAGCAGATGTACTCAAAGGACACTCAGAACTGTTTTGGGGACAATAACAAATAAAGCAACAAAAATAAAATGTTAGCATATGCAGTAAATTCAAAAAAGCCTTGCGTTCATTGCACCTTGCACGGTCCTCCATTTTTGTCTTCACTTCCAAAACAGTATCCCTCCCACAGCAGCACACACACACTGACGTCATCGTTCTACCCTTTCGGCACCAAGTGCAGTGTGAATGCAAGATGGTTGTTGTTGGAGCTGATGTGAGCTCCTGCCCAGCTCTGGCCGAACACTGACACCGGTTCCGGTTCCGGTTCCGGCCAGGGCTTGGTGTGAGAGGGGTATGTGGCTGAGGTGTTACATTACAGGGACGTCATAAACCTTATGGATCTCATTTGATTAAGGAAAGAAAATGGGCCGTTCCTTATGGGCTAGCAATGGTAAACACACACTGAACATGGGACTTCGGCAAGAATGTGGAACTTTGCCAAGTAAAACTGAACCAAACCAGGTTCTTGGTGAATGATTTTTACCACAACCTGGAAAACATCCTCAAGCATTTATCAGATCCACGTGATGGATGTTAAACCATCACATCTATCCTTTAAAATTAAGGAATTAAGAGTTTCTCTCTTAATTCCTGAACCATTTCTTATGGGGTAACACTGCCCCCACCCCCCCACTGCTGGTCTGTCATCCAAGCTCTCCATCTGGGGGTGAAGAGCTATTTACGCGTCCACATCCCAAGGTCTCGCTCCCTGAAAGGGAATACTGCATTCCCACCCTGTGCTCTTGTTTTCCCCTGTTCCTTTCCTGTGACTCCACTCCTCCAGTGTCCCACTCTGTGCTCTCCCTCTCCTCCCTTGTGCTCACACAGGCTTACAGCCCCTCCTTGGGAGAGGGGGGCAGCTGGCTGCTTGTGGACGTTTTGAGGGAACCGAGGGTCTTGCTGAACCAGGAGTTTTTGGCGGCCTGAATCTCGTTCATCAACACCCCTCTCTGGTGTTCCAGCTCCTGCCAGATCAAAACACACAAGTGAGTAAACAGAGGTAACATCCTGTGTATGTAACCGGTTGACAGTTCCTGACAGTTTAACTCATTGTGTTTAAATAAAGGGCTGCACCTCAACTGTTACAGGTACTGACATGAATACCCCCATTTCTCCTTGGGGTTCCTCTGGAAGCAAAACCATCTTAAAGACACGTTCAGGTTATGTGACCTAGTGAATCTACAATGCCCTCTGACTCATTTGTTTTTTAATTCCAAAAGTGTGGTTGGTGTAAATTTTTCTGACCCTGCCCTATGTCTTCAACAAAGATCTTGTATTAAGCTGACAAGATCTTTTTTTTTAAGCAATGTTTTAAAATACCTCCACGGAATAAAAATATATCTGGGGACAATTAAAGGTGAGAGGCTTTAATTGTGGGCGGGATCATCACATACTGCCAACTGGTTTAACCCAGCAGGAAACATCAATGTGACCAATACAATGCAAGTTAAACCTGCACATGACTAACATTGCACTTGCGGTTACGAATCTTAATTTCTCCATCCAGAAGTTTTCAAAGAATATCGTGGAAGTGAAATATTGGTGATTCATACAGACGCAGAAGACATCCATGCATTTCCCATCAGACCGAAATGAAAAGCTGAACAGCCCACATGCTCTTCTCCAATGAACTCAACTCTGGGAACAGGCCTCTTGATTTTAATGAGTGCAGAATTTCATTTAAACAAGCTTCTTTTTGTGCATCTACTCATGTGACAGGTTGTGTGCTCATCTGACGGAGTGATAAGATTAGTCAGCAATGAACCAACTAGCCGAGCAATGCAGATAAAATCAGCTATGAAAAACTATTTATAGCGCGCTCTGAGCTCTTTCGAAGTGTTTTTTTGTTTGATTTTTAAAAGGAGTCCGGTAAAAAGCTTTCTGGTGATATGTAAAATAGAGGTCACGTCTGTCAGTATTAATACTGATGCCATGTGACCAGCAGAGTAACATTTTTACTTTTAGAACTTCATAACAAACGTGTGAAGACATCCTCAGTCTGCGTTCCTGACTTCAGAGGGTAAAGCATGCAGACCATAGAGCATTCTTCCGGACTGCTGCTAAGTCTGGTGGTGCAGCTTGTTTCCTGCCTGCCGAATGCAGCAGCCTTGCACACCTTTGCAGGAGAACGCATGTGTGCGTGTCCCATTTGGGCGAGGGTACACCACTCGGCTCCCGGGAACCCGACAGGCTGCTGGGGAGACGGAGGCCCAAGACTCACCTGGATCCTGCACTTGGCCTCCACCAGCTGCAGCTTGGTCTGGGCCAGTTCCAGCTCCATCTCTCTCAGCTGGGCCTTGAGCGAGTCCTTCTCCTCGTCCAGGTCCGAGTCCCGGTTGTCCTTGCTCACCGCCGGCACCTGCAGCGGCCCCTCCTTGCTGAAGACCTCCCGGCACCGTTCACACGCCATCACTTTGCTCTGTGGTTGCAGAGTGTGCCACATGGTCATGCACGGCAGCATGCGAGTGCAGCAGCACAAAATGCGGGTGGCTGCGCCCGAGCCGAGCTAAGCCCTCACCTTAACGATGTCCAGCTCCTCTTTGGTCACGGCCTGCTGCTTCTCAAGCCTGGTGCTCAGCTGGGAACAGATCTAGAAACCAGATATCCGAAGACGCCGTTACCATAGCACAGGGATCCCCAGTACGCAGCCTGTAACAGTCAAATGTTTTGCTTGTGCAAAATGTGCATCGCTGCGTTTTAACTAAGCTACCGGGGCCCTGTCTCAGGGGATTCGATCCATTCGATCCCCACCCAGCAAATCTGATCAACAGCATCCCCAGATCCCCTCAGCACATTATTTCAACATGAACTGGCATAAGGGAATGACATCGGGGGCAGGAGCCCTTGGCTTTGTGTTTGGCTCTCGGGGAAAAATAATTGGGCTCAGTGGGCTAAGCCTCTTTGCCTATGATCAGAAGGTCGTCGGTTCAAGCCCGGTCTCAGCATGTCTGTGGGCCTTTGAAAAAGGCCTTTAACCCCCAGCTCCCTGGGCACCACTACGGGTGGCTGCCCTTCGCTGCTGAACTTCTATAGAGAGAAACATGGGGGCGGCAAAAAGAATTTCCCCACTGGGATCAATGACGTTTAATCACTTCATTTCCAGGCAGCATTAAATGGGAGGTCAAGAAGAAAAACACCTGAAGTTGTATATGGCGTTAAATAATTCAGTGCATTGGTTAAAGATTACAGGTGATTAAACACTTGTGCTGGCTGGCTGACTGTCTTGTACGCGGTGAGCATTAGTGCATGCGGGTGACAGAGGTGTCACATGCTGGTCACCCTGCCTCACCTGCTTGTACTCTGCGATGATGGCCGTCGTCTTCTTAATCTCAGACTCAGCCTTCTCCAGCTCCCTTCTGAACACCTCTTTCAGCTGGTGGAAGGGATTATACAGAGTCAGATGAGGGGACGCCCACAAAGGTCCCATAATGCAACAGTCAGCACATTAGGCACCCAAGGGAAAAGCGTCCCATCATCAGGTGAAAGCCTCTCTCGTGTCCTAACAGCTGGCGGCTTCTGCTTATTTCTGATTTCTCTGATTTCATGTGAGGCATACTATGGAGGCGATGAAAAGACCACAGAAATATATTCCAGGTACTGCAACTGGCATATGATGCAAAAAAAAATGTATTATCAATCCAGTCTATCCAATATGTGTGTGTCTGGTCGCTACTCCAGAAAACACAGGGCAGATGATGGAGGAGATCTTGGACATGATGCCAGTCCTTCAAAGGGAAGGAAATCACACACAAAGTCGTGCGTGTGTAATTCTTAGTAACATCATAATCATGATCATGATCATACAAATCCATGCAAATACGGGGTCAGTACGTCAGCTCCACACTCAAAGTCGGGGATTCGAACCCCCAAGCCACCACACCACAAAGTTTAAATTTCAGCAATTTAAATGTATTTTCCTACACCGATAGTCATGCACGGCGCCCCCTAGGGACATGATGTGTACAGCGCCCCAGCACCTGTGCAGTCTCTTCCTCATGCTTCTTCTTCTGCTCCTCAGTCTCCACCAGGCGCTGCTTTGTGTTCAGTAGCTCCTTGTTCAGGACGTCGGCCTTGTCCTCCGCCTGCGAAGCACATCGCAGTCGTTACAGCAATGGAGTTATCAGGTCGCGCCAATGCAAAGTTCCCACCGTAGCCCGTCCGATGGCAGTGGGTGGGGGGCATGCTCACCTGGTCCAGGTCGTTCCTCAGTGCTATCTTGCTGGTGACGAGCTCGTGGGCCAGGTCGTCGTTCTCCTGCTCCAAACGCATACTGGCCTCCTGTAGCCTCCGGTTCTCCCTCTGTCAACAGAAGTGATAAGAGTAGAGCTTGAGGAAAGAGATAAAAACAGGAAACGCGGAGAAGTGTTCGCTCGCTAACGGAAGCGTTAAGGATGGTGATACTGGCCACAATCGTTTGCTAGCTGAAGACTGACAGAGCGGCTGAGAGCGACGCGCGAGTGAGGCTGAGGTAGGGAGAGAGAGACATTCACACATATAGACTGTGGCCACCGTCACTCAGGGAAATGCTGCAGACACTGACTGACAACCGAGCACACCAGCATCGACAAAAACAGCCCACGCTTGTCAAAATTTTTCTAGAATATTTTTCAGTCTCTCCCTAGTTGCTTTCATACATACACACAACCACACACACACTTCAGTTTGTTCACTGGCATCCACCTGCTAAAAATAACAACTGATATATTTCCTTACATTTCATTTTCAATCCATTAGTAAGTCTTTTGAGCTCTTTTTTGAGTTATCTAGGGAGTTGGCATGAGTGTCACTGTAGCCCAATGCAAAAACTTTCGTATCTGGTGCAATATTAATGCAACATCGTGGTCCTGACAACTCCAGCTGGGATATTTTTAGCCTTAGAAAGCAGTTGGAATGCAGTTAGCATCAGACTGCCCAAGTAAAACCTAAATCCGAATCTCACTTTCCACCCATGACTGACCGGCGCACCTCAGGTCAAAGGGCACCTGCAGGTAATTTTATCTCCACACCCGTTATGGGTGAACGAGAGAATAACAGATTCTTATCCACAAACAAAAAGAGAGATTATAGGACGAAAGAGATTATAAGAGAACAAAGCCATCACTTCAAATAGGGAGGTGGGCTCATTACGCTGAGCCCCTGTGGACTGGTCACCACCAGCCCAGCCTCCTGGACGCTTCCTTCAACAAGCACGGCTTGTCTTAAAGACGCCATTGTTACAAACTCAGATAGGAAGCACTGGTCATGCGATCCCATGACATTATGCACCCTCACATGAGGACCGATAGCCATCAAGTTACAAAAAAAATCAGTTAATCTGACTATCACTTCAGACTGGTTAGGCTCTCCTGACAGAACTCTACCATGATATTAGTAATTATAGTAATTAAACACTGGATACTTCCCACCCCCTCTAATACTTAGAAAAATCCCCATTAAAGCCTAATTAAATTCACAGCCAATTTTCCTGCTCACAAAAATCTAGTCACCATTTTCCTACTGCTAACATTATATAGCGATATTCATAGTGAACATTACACCCTGTTATTAATAATGTTGTCACTGATCATGTTATCAATACAGCGTATCAGGTGGACAGGCCAAGAGTATATTTATCAGAGCAGCGAGACGGGTTTGTAGGGAACTCTGACGGCAAAGCGAGCATCGCAGGGCACCGTCTGCCGGACAGACCGAGACAGAAGCAGAAGCGAGGGGGGGGTGCGGAGCAGACTGCGGGGAGCGACACGCAGCACGTCGGATTCGGGCTGGGGGCTTACCTGGACGCTCACGGCTGCCTACGCGATCACGGGCCGCAACGCGGTTTCTGACAATGCCCTCAACCGACAAGGGGCGAGGGGAGAGGCCAGCTGCTTCATTGGCTGAGCTCGCGGCCAAGTCCCTCCCACCAGGCTGCTGTGAAGCCCATCCCCGACACCTCCCTGATCTGCCAACGCGGCTCCGCCACCAGGGGGCGCACTAGCATGTTCCTCAGTCCTCTCTGGTAACACACATTCTTTTACCCTGTCAGCAACCCCTCTGAGCCGCCCTAAATTCTAACATTACAACAACTGGCCATTATTTAAAAGTATCCTTTATTTTACGTTTGTGAAAAGTATAAAACAGCCTCAGTATGAAACACACAAGTTAAAAACTTAAAATCAGTCACTGTTCAAAAATAAGTTCAGACTGAACAAAACAAGTCTTTCCAAACAGTTTTTTGACCTGTAAGTCTGACACAATTATAAAGTGCAAAAAACTAACTAAAATAAAAATATATTCTTATTTACTTGAACATAAGAGGTGTGTTACAGGCAACAATGTTCACTCAAGTCAGCTTAACAAACACAACTGTCAGTTTTTTGCAGAAGTGGATAGTTCAAGTCCAGAAAGTAAAAATTCAGACCAAGATTTTGCTTCAGCCAACAAGCTACTCTGTGACTGTAATTCTTTACTCGAATGATTGATTGAAACAAAATCTTGGTCTGAATTTTTACTTTCTGGACCTGAACTATCCACCTCTGGTTTTTTGTAATTGAGAAGAAATACAAGTCTACTTTTTTGTCTGAACTTAACAAATGCTTAGATTTGTCATTTGATCTTAGCAGCAAACCTTATATTACAGATGCAAAAACCAGAAACTGGGCTACTAAAAAGCTTATTTGTGGAGCTGCCCAGCTTTCAAAAGCACACAGATCTCATTCTTGGTCGTCTGTGCGCCCCGAAGTCTTTCATGTGTCACCGAAGCACCTCTACACATGGGTGAACTGAAACAGGATGAGAAAGGGAAACAGGAAATGGGTGCGGTGGATTGGTGTGACCATCTTGGGGGGGGGGGGGGGGAATGGCGCGGCAGGTGGATGAGAAAATTCGGACCTAGCCGGTCACATTATATTAGTTACATCTTGTTTATGTTTGGCGAGTCAGACATGCCTCTGATCAGAGCCCACGCTCCATTAGGATGCCTACCTGATACCTGTCGATGGGGTCCTCCTGCTGCAACTGAGTCTCCCGCAAGGACTGGTACTCCTTTTCAAACTTCTTCAGTTTCTTTGTGGGCACCTGCAGAGGGCAGAAGCATTGTGGGTTCGTGAGAAAAATGCCAGTGCTTCAGTAGGAGTGGGGCCGGACGTGAGCTTGGCAGGTATGGAATTGCAGGAGCTATTTCAGCCACCAGGTGGCGATGTGATGAGCATAAACACACCACGACTCGCTGTTGCCCCAGGTAAGCAGCTGAGGCCATATTAAAAACCAGTTTAAAATCTACTTCCCAGGATTACTTGCCTTAGGGCTCTTTCACTTTGTCCCTGACCACCTGGTTTACACTGCGCATGCCAGCCAGTGACCGATCAATTTAAATAACAAACCAAGGCAGCAAATATCAGATGTCTTAAAACCAACAATCTGTTCCATTCCAGTCCCTGACTCTTCAGTAAACTAAACAGCTGCGGGCACAAGTATCAGTATGGAGAAGTTTATAGGTTGTTCTAGTCAATCATACATATCTGTGAAATGAACACATCTTCCTGTGCGCTGGAATAAAATCACTTTAGCAGCCTTTTGTACGTGCTGTCATACACACACGCTACATTTCCCTCTTACCTAGTTCCTGTGGTCTCCCTGCTACTCGACCTAAACTGCACCAAAAGTCCACCTGTGTAGTAAGAAGCTACCTGTACCTCCATAAGATCAACCTCTTAGGTGATCCAAGGAGCCTAATAAAACATCTATACTTAACCACATAAAAAATTGACATAAAAATGCACAAAACAGAGCTCCACGTCATATGCAGACATGAGGTCTCAGCCCGCCTTGTTGCCATGGTAGCAGCAGGAATGTTTTTCTTGCGGCTAAGATAGAGTTTACAGGTCTGTCTCAGGAGGGAGAAGCCTTGCCACCAGAGATGATCACAAAGGGCACATCACTTAGGGCTCTCTGCTCCATGCATGCATGGCAGGAAGTGAAGACAGCTTTTTATATCCATTTAAAACTAGCGTAGTTGCTTAGTGGCCATCTTAGGTGTGTAGGAGGCATAACAATACAGAGCATTAAGCTGAGCGACACATCCATTCAATCGCAGGCAAATGACAAAGTAAGAATGAGAGCTGGAGAGCGGAGCAGCAGGGAAACCATACTGAGGGAACGATCTGGAAAAAATGATACGTCAGAAACACGTGTGTCACCCGCGATGGACAGACGTAGGGCACCATATTCACCATGTAGGCACGAGGGAGGGAGATTTCACAATGTAACGGAGGCAGCGCACTCAGATATCTGGGTGCGTCACTGGGGCCGAGAGTGACGACGCCGACCTCCACTCTGTCGGTGCGAGAGATAAACAGCACAGTGACTGTGTTTTGGTACCTGCGGAGTCATGGAAGCCATCAAACGTGTCACGATAAAACTGGGAGCCGTACTAATCGTGTTTTCTGCGTTTATCAAGCAGCTTCGACCTTTTCTTTGGCAGAGCGGGTTTCTGCGTACGCGGTTCACAGCAAACCCCCCCACGTTCACGTCATCCCGACAGCTCACCTCTTCCTTGGCCCCTCGGACACCCAAATGTCACGTCATCAAACCACTCACTGTTTCCATGAGGTACTAACTGTCACACCACGTTCAAAGCGATGAGAAATAAGGATCAGCCTTTCATACCCAGAATGCACCTTGCTCTGCTGTACGTATTCTTGCTGCTTTTATTGTGTATTTGAGATCTGTTAACAGGAAGATGCTTTCAGACATGAATTAAGTTTCATGACGGCTCCTAGGCTGGTGTTTTTATATCATCCACATCGAAGACCCAACTATGATGTGAGACAAACCTGAACAACTCCACAGACTTCTACATAAAGATAAACTACAGAAGCAACAGTTAATTAAGTGATACAAAGAAGCCAGTGAATGGAACCTCACAGGGACTCTGCTCCCCTGGCCAGTACCCTGCCTCTCCCACCGTCGCTGCTCTGCTCCCCTGGCCAGTACCCTGCCTCTCCCACCGTCGCTGCTCTGCTCCCCTGGCCAGTACCCTGCCTCTCCCACCGTCGCTGCTCTGCTCCCCTGGCCAGTACCCTGCCTCTCCCACCGTCGCTGCTCTGCTGTCCAGGTTAACGGCGTCTCCTCAAATGGATGCACAGAGAGACCCACAGCACGCAGAAGCACCAACCAGCAACCGTCAGAGTTATAAACCGTCAGTCTGTAGACTTTGTTTATCGGAGTGATGTTCTGAGCACTGATGTTTCAGAGCCTGAATCAACAGACCTGCCTCTCAGACGTACAAAAGATCTTTAACACTGCCTGAATTCAGAGGAATGATAATCTCTCTCTCTCTCTCTCTCTCTCTCGTTCTCTCTCTTTCTCTCCTTACTGTACACCACGAGAGTGAAACTCCTCATATTTAGGGCAAGACGTGTGCCAACCCGATTGAGACACCTACCGAGGGCTTGGGTCTGGAGTCGGCTACCAGGCTGGCCAGGTAATCCTCCTCCAGGATCTGGTTGATCACATGGGCATTGTAGGCCACGCTAATAGACACCTCCTCCATCATCTTGACAGTTGTGTTCCCCCGAGGAGCGACGCAGCAGGTTAAGCAGGGCTGCCTAGCGCAGTGTGGCCTCTGTAGCCTCTGGATGTCTCTTAAAGATCAAGCCCAGCCCTCGGGGGTGGGAAATGCAGGGCAGGTCTGGGGGGGGGAGGCCCAGCCAGGAACACACACCTGATCTGGTTTTGTTTCCGTACTCTGCGAGCGAAGTTAGCTGTACTCCTGCACACAGTCACCTTCTGTATTTTTTTCCCCTCTAGTTAAAGGTGGCGTTTCAGTCCTGGCCACCGCCCCCAGCCCCCTTAGTACGAGTGCCAGCAGAATCAGGACCCCGCGAGCGCAGCTCCGCCCCCTCTCTCCCAGGCTGGTTACTACAGCACAGCAGATCCTGTTGTCACTGTCCCTCAGGCGCCTCCTCTGACTGGCTGGCGGTCCTCAAGGATCAGAGCCCAGGCCACTCCCCCCAGCCCTCCCCCGTTCTGCTCCAGTGATAGCAACACTCCACTCAGTCACTGATCCTTGGAGGATTGTGCTGGAGCCAAACAGGTACAAATTTAAAGATACAAGGAAATCGATACAAGGAAATCCACAGCTCAGGTCTAGAAAGAATTAGCCATTTTTAAAAACCAAAACATATACTGTATACATATAAATATATACAGACAAAAAAAATAAATTAAGACCCAGTGAGCTTACTTAAAAAAATGTCCAATCTTCAAATGTCCAATGTCTGAGCTGCCGATCAAGACCGTCAGAGTGAAACTGTAATTATTTCTGTACTGCCGAGGACGGGAGGATGGAGCAGCCCACGCAGAGGGGCCGCCCCTCCCCAGAGGCAGCAGGTGCCAGCGGATTCTTGCAGTCTGTAAGCTGATTACAAGTCAGGTCCGTCCCCCCCTTACGAAACGAAGGAACGCCTGCAGCTCTCTCCTCCCTGACCGTGAGGGCCCAGATTACTCCTTCCGTGGAAACAGAGAAAAACGCAAGCTTCACACGTACGAGCGAGCGAGAGCGAGAGCGAGAGCGAGAGAGCAGCCCTGGGGAAACAGCGACTGCGTAGACGCTGGAGACGCAAAGACAGCTTCGATTGGCGGTATGATGCAAAGCTTCCTGTACCCCCCCCCCCTCCCCCCCACGCGACACCCTCCCTGCTCACTGACTCACATTTCTGTCCCAGGAGACACGGCAAGAGTAGGCTCCTCGTGCAAACAAACTCCGCCTCCGTGCACCGGGGAATGGAAGAGGGACGGTCTGACAGGGACAAGGCCGCCTGCTTCTTGCCCCTTCCAAGACGGTGAGGAAAGATACGGCGTTCTGAAACAAAGCCTGTGCTTGCCGGCGGCAGGCTGAAATATCCGGGCTCCAGCTCACGTCATCTTTGCTGCTCTTCCTGTGGTGGCTCTTGGGTCAGGAGGCGAGAAAATGCTCACCCGCAGATCATAACCCTGCTTTTGAAACCGGTGAGCCAGACATCAGGAGCAAGCCGTGCAGGTTCCACCAGCCTGTCGACCGGGGTGGTGCCTGGTTCCGCCCAGACAGGGCTCCTAGAGCCCATCCCCGGCTGAATAACTACAAGCTAAGCGATCCTGCCGTGCCACTTCCTGGTGCTGCACTCGGCGACACTGCCAGCCTCTGCTCCACACAGACAGGAGAGCACGAGACCAGGAGCATTTAAAGCACCAACGCTCCGGACGTTTCCACACCAGGAGCAGCCCGCGGCCCACGTGTGCTGCTAACAGGCAAAGCCCCTCCCACGCTGAGATGGCGTAACCTAAGCCAGGCGAGAACCTCCTGCTCCGGCGATCGGAAAAAACGGGGGGGGGGGCGCTGTGGGCTGCCACAGACCATGACAGGAAAGCCTCCCAGCCCGATGGGACATGGCCCACTGGCCGCAATTAAGTTCTAACCTGCCTGCTGACTCATCCTCACTCAGCAGACCAATACACCTGTTCACTGGCTCTCGCACAGGTGATAAAGGCCACGCCCCTCCCAGGCTGCACTCCCAACCCCGCCCTGTCTCCAGGGCCATAGAGTCTGCCGGATCACAACACCTGCTTGCGAAATAAGGGCAGGCCGCATCCAAGACAATGTGTGTGAGCATGTGGGACAGACGCAAAATACCAGGAATCATGCATTCATTGTGAAATTCTTGTGAACTTCCAAACAAAAGCATCTCATGGTCATCTGACTGTAGTGTGATCAGAAGAGCAAGCCTTATGTTGTTATTAATAAACAGGTGAGGGTCGCTGTTAAATCAAATACATCATCCATTCTCCAAGAAGTACAACGTAACCTAAAAAGCATGACAGAGCTTCAGATTAACAGACTTGTCGACAAACAATTCAGCTGTGCAGTGAACTCTGCGAACTGCATGCCTGAGAAGCCAACCTCTCTCTCGGGCTGCAATCTTCCCCCAAACTGCTGTAACCTAATTTAAAGTCATGCCGTTCAAATTCAGAGTCACGAGTTGCGTTAGCAGCAAGTCTGAGCAATGGGGGCATTAACCATGCAGGTTTAAATGCCAGAAAATGTCACAAGTTGACCAGTCTCACCATTATCATGATCACCTTGAGGGATGGGTGGCAATGCACCGGAAGATGAATAGAGCGTAATTACACCGGGCTTTGGGGGCACTCTGTGATGTGCCCCCCCCCCCCTCCGATATCAGAGCCGTGAGAAACACTGTAGACTGAGATCCCAAGAGCTTAGTCCGCTACCATGTAATACCGAAACTTAACTGCAAATGGATTTGCTTACTCAATAGATTGAAAAGATGTTAATCCTGAAATGCTAAGGTCACTATGTGGACTTATTTTTAATACCTGTGTTTGCTAACTTGGCAAAACCTACCCACCCGAATGGCCAAATGTTACATCAATCAGTATTACTCAGCTGTTTTTGGCACGGCGGATGCCTGTGCTTATTGGGTAACGCTTTTCAGAGTATTAGAATCTTAATCCTTACATTTGAGTAATTATTAAGTAATGTAACCTAGGATACCAAGTAAACAGAGCGTATCACACACAGACAGGTCACACATTCATCATTAACACACACCATGCAACAGTTACATAAATGTCATAAAATGTGCATAAGTAAACTGAAATGTTACTGGGTATGAATATGAATGCAATGTTTTGATTTATGAGCATAAACACGCTATATTATCCCTGTGCTCAGTGATTACGACAACATATGTCGCCGGAATGTTTTGGATCGGCACACAACCTGTCAAACGCAGCAGAGCTCAGCATCAAGGCACAGCAACCGGCTAACGAGGACAGAATAATCACCCATAACCTGCAGACCGTAATTAATGAAGTTCTGCCTACTTAATGTTCTTGTTTTGATTTAATTTCCAGTTACATTAATCCCCTGTCGTGGCATTGTTAAGATTTCAAAAAGCATTTAAGACTAACTTAAGTTCCTGTATGACATATTTATAAGGATGATTTATTTATCAATTCTGATCTTTTTTTTTTTATTAAAAGCTATTTCTATCCATGTATCCATACTCCATAGCAGGGTGACAGGGGGCTGGGAGCCTAACCCAGGCAGAACAGGACGCCAGGCTGGGGACGCTCTGAAAGGATGCCAGTGCATCACAGGGCACAAACACGTTTAGGACAAAATACGGACAAAATGTCATATTTTAGGTTAGAATCACAATCCATGATAAATGCCTTGTTCATAGGTCACTTTGGACAAAAGCATGTGCTAAATATGTAAATATATATAATTAGATCACAATTTTTTTATTACAAACGAACCAAACTGGAATGCATGCAGTAATGTTAATTAACCATAACCAGCAATTCTATCCTAACAAGAAACACTGCTTGTAGTATTATAAAAGTAATCATAATTAATTATCAGTGTATATAAAATACTATACTTATAAAAGAAAACAACTCATTATAGCAAATGCATTTTAATGTTTTTTTAACATTTAAGTCTGAAAAGTTTGGAGTGCAAATGAACATTTATGCATTAACTGTATCTTTGCAAAGTCTGCAAATAACAGTAGAGTGGTCATGTCAGATTTCGCAAATACAAACCATTTTCACACAATCTAAGCAGAAGCTTTTTTTGGAACCAATTCATCCTCATCAGCCATGCTGCACACACTGATTATGCGACAGCGTAGCTGAGACCGTGTGTTGTTTGCCGCGTGACACAAGTGCTATATTTTTAGCAGTCATATATATATATATATATACATAAAATGTTTGTTTTCGTAAAAGATCAATTATCGAGTTCAAGATCTAGTCACTAACTTGAGATCCACTGAGACAGATTATTCACAAAGTGAGATATACAGACAGCGCAGAGATGTCACGCAAGCTGAAAATGCTTGTTTCACATCAGTCTGTTTGTGTTGTAGTTCTGTAGCAGCCTCCATACAGTCAGGCATCGCAAGACTTGCACACCCAGTATCAATCAAAAGTTATAGAATAGCCACTGCACTGCCCCTTTAAGGGCAACGACTTATATATTTAGCATAGTAGCTGTACTGGTGATACCTGGCAAATGTATAAAATACACTCTATCAATCAAAAGCTATAGTTAATCATGTCTTAAGCTGCCAAGTCATGGGTTGGGGTTGCTTTGCTGGTGAGAGAGCTGGTGATCTTTGTCAAATACATGGGCATTTCAATCAGCTTGGCTATCGTAGGTTACTTCACTATCAGTCCATTCTATCACGATTACGGCTGACTGGACAGTACCTCATTATTCTGCAAGATAACGACCCGAGACACACTTGAAAATCATGTGAAAACTATCCTGTGAAGAAAGAAAATGAACGATCCAGTTTCCCATAGGACCAGTATGGAATGAAAAGGATTGAAGACCATCTATGGAATCCAGGATTAAAAGTAAACTTTAAACTTCTGTTACCTCTGATGATCTAATTTATATATTCTAATATATGTTTAATGTGATTTTTTATGTATTTTCAGGTACTTTTAGGAAAATGGACTGTATGATGGAGAAGAAGGAATCAAATGCCAGCGTTCTGGATGTCCTGTTGTACTTATTATATCAGGTTTAGTGTCGGAGCATCTGGTTCCGAAAGTTTAACAGCTAAGAGGAATCAATTATTCTAAGCAAACCCGGGCCCCAGCAGGTCCCATCGGTCACTACTGCACTTCATGGACCCACTCCAGCTGCACTTACTTCCTTCAACCAACCAGTGGTCCCAAACGACACCACAAAGCAACGTGTCAAGAGGCACTCAGACGCGAGACTAGCCATCTCTCTGCCTGCTCTTTTGTTCAGCCTTGAGCCAGTTCTAACTTCAAACAGTTCAACTGAATTCCCAGCATGCCTCAGTGAGAGGACTGTGCATTTCGATTCGCAGCCTAATGGCTGACGTTGCACTTCTAGCCGAGAGAACAAGCACGGAAAACAGAATAACATGAGGACGAAGGCGCAGAACGCTTCCCCCTGCCGGTACAGCTCGGCGCGCGGGACCAGTCCGCGGGCACTGGGAGTGCAGATTAGGCAGCGTTCTGCAGGTATGTCACCATATTAAAGCATTCAGAAAAGGCAGTGACATGCCCAGGCGCAGCCACCATGTTAACAGAGACCCTGAATCATGGTGAATTGTGCCTATTGGTTCGATGTGGCCCAGTGTGAACACCAATTTGCACAATTACAAGTACGGATCTGATGAAGCTGATGTCAAG